GCTTGGTGTTGGCAGGAGACAAAATTAAAAAGTTAATAGAAAATGAGGTACCTGCCCTCGCTTTACTCAATGTTTTCTCAGTGCAATGCTTAAAAAACATCACAGCCGGGCTCAGTGGCTCACGTCTGTAATCCCAGCACTTTGAGAGGCCGAGGCAGGTGGATCACGAGGTCAAGAGATTGAGACCATCCTGGTCAACATGGTAAAACCCCTTCTCCACCGAAAATACAAAAATTAGCCGGGCGTGGTGATTCGCACCTGTAGTCCCAGCTACTCGGGAGGCTGAGGCAGGAGAATCACTTGAACTTGGGAGGTGGAGGTTGCAGCGAGCCGAGATAGTGCCACTACACTCCAGCCTGGTGACAGAGTGAGACTCCGTCTCAAAAAAAAAATAAAAATAAAAAAATAAAAGTAACTAGGTTGACCATCAAGAGCTTCTGGACTGTATCAGTTGAGTGAGACACTCCTATAATATAAAACAGCCACTTTCACAGAGGTTGTTTCCTCTTTAGAACAGTAACGAACTCACTCCTTCAATCACATGCTCAACCTACTATGTGCTGCTAAATGCCAACCCCCCAACACTGAGGTATCTCTGAAAGAATCAAGGCGGGTTGTATAGACATTTCCACACAGAGGCATGTTAACAGAATATACTGAATGATAACCTCATGAAATTAAAAAAAAAAAAAAAAAGGCAGCCATACCTAAAAGAAATCAGGTCAGGCCTAATGAGAATCAGCTGGTAGGCTTTACCTATTCCTACTATTCTATTCTCTGTTGGCTTTTTTTTTTCTTGGAAACCTGTAATCATAAGTACATTTTCTTCAAAAAGATGAATAAGGAAATGGGAAATAACATATTTCCTATGTTTTCCCTAAGGTAGACCTGTCATAACATAGATTCAGAAAGAAAAATCAATAAGAAGGCGTTTCTCCATATAATCCACAGTTTTCCCCCTGCTTTGAAACAGAAATCATCATTCACTACAGAAGTATCTGTAAGCAAAACACACTTTATCCTCTCTAGGCAGGAGAAAGGGTTAACTAGGTACAGTCACTAGCAGGACCACAACAGAGCAGGACTGGCTGGGCCCAAACTTGCTTCCCCATCCCTCCAACTCCTCTAACTCACTGCTCCTTGTTTCTTTTTCTTTCTTGCCTTCCTTGTAATTCTCTCATGTAAATCTCATGCCCAGTGATGTTTGCCCCATTTCTGGGAAAAGATAAAGCTCCAAAAACAACTTGATTTTCCTCTAACACTTCAAAATATTTCAAGGCAAAACCTGAACCTTGGGGGAGAAAAAAGGAAATCTTTGAAAACAGCTTCAATCACTGTCCAGGTTCACAAATATCTAGTTACCAGACTCAGTTTTCCTACTTTAAACAATGAAGAACTATCGGACAAAAGAAGAAATGTTGAAAAATTTAGATGACAATGAATTTCATTCCTGCTTGCTCTCAGGGAGTGTTACTGCTAACTTAGTAAACAAAAAGGGATCTTGTCACAGATGAATGAACATTTCAAAACTGGCTGCAAATAAAGACCCAAATGCCTGGTCAGTTTGCTTGTTTCTTATCAGCCCTTCCCATTGATCTTCTCTTTAAGAGTTTAGGAAATTCACTCGGCCAAGCACGGTGGCTGATGCCTGTAATTCCAGCACTTTGGGAGGCCGAGGCAGGCAGACCACGAGGTCAGGAGTTCAAGACCAGCCTGACCAACATGGTGAAACTCTGTCCCTACCAAAAATACAAAAATTAGCAGGGCGTGGTGGTGGGCCCCTATAATCCCAGCTACTCTGGAGGTTGAGGCAGGAGAATTGCTTGAACCCGAGAGACAGAGGTTGCAGTGAGCCAAGATTATACCACTGCACTCCAGCTGGGTGACAGAGAGACTCCATCTCAAAAAAAAAAAAAAAAAAGAAAGAAATTCTCTCATTCACTCATGAGTTCCTTCATTCCACAGATATCACTGGATGACTTCTTGTTCCTTTCACTACCAAGGAGGAAGCCGATGTACTTGAGGGATTATGAAAATAGATATAGTAGGGGTGCGTGAGTCAACTCATTTAGGAAAATCATTAGTAGGTTGCTTTCATCTCTAGAATTATTTTTCCTTTAAAAAGCTTGATTTGCTGATAGAATACTATATGAATTGTTTAGTTGTTTCCTATTCTATTCTTGAGTCCAGAAACAACAGAAATACCTTATTTTAATAGCCCTGGCATTCTCCTCCCTGCTATAGTCAATGGAGTAAACTTTAGTCGTATGTTAACATCAATCAGTAATCACTTCCACTTGTCCTATGGGAGCACAGAGGGCCTCCTCTATTGGGTCCTGCACCTACATTTTCACAAATTAGTGACTTCTGTGGGAAAGGGATGAGAAATTACTCACATCTCTTGTTCAGTTATACTCCCCAGCCTCTGGTGGGTCCAAAAATGTAAGAATCCAGAACAGGCTCATCTCAGTCTCCAGGACCATTCCTTGTCTCCCATGGACCCTCTCCTCCTCACTGCTATTGGGCCATGTGGAGGGCCACCATATGGCTGCACGCGGCCCCAGATGGCTCCATCTCCCTAAAAGGGGCGCTCAAGAACATAAAAATGCTGCTGTGTACTTTTATTGCAGCCCCTTCTCATTTTCCTCCATCTGTCCTCCATATGGTTTATGCAACTCTCTTCAGCTCCTGCACACCCCGGCCTTTGATAATGAGGGTTGCTTACCTGACCGAGATAAAGAACTAGAATTCACCTTTGTCAGCGACAAGGGGTCCTGTTACTTTAAATAACTGATTCACTTAGTATTTGAGCTATCAATATCTCCTTTTCTTCAATTTGCACACATTTATTTTATATTTATTGTATTTCTTATAATCTTATTAACAGAAACCACATGGTGGCTTTTCTGTTGTGTTTTCTCCAAGTGTCGTTCTTGAAGTTTGGAAGAGCTACACTGACTTCCACTTAGGCATCTCTTTTATATACACATTAATCATTTTCTCCAAAGTTGACTTTTCCATTTTCATAAAATCTTTCTTTGGTGAAAGTTGTTACCACTTTTGCCACTCAGATGTCTCCGCAAAACTCTAACGTTTCATGTGTGTCCTTCCCCCAAACTCTAAGGAAATGAGCAGGAATTAGGTGAGGTGACCCCAACCAACCCCTTCTTCCCCACTTAGGTTGGTGCTAGGAGAGTCAAGCCATGAAGTCCTCCTGGTCCTCTTGGCTTTGTGAGCACATGGCAGAAGTGACATACATGATCCAAAGGTTGGTATAACTGAGAAGAAAGCAAGAATAAGTCACTAGACAGGATGCAAATCACTATATTTCCCAATAGGAGGCAAATTCTGACATTAGCAACAATAATAAGAGTGATTTGTCATTCTCAGTGTTAAGTAGTGGGAACCTGTGAGCACTTGAGCCATTTTCTCAAAAGCAAAGAGAACACAAACTCATGACAATTAAAAAGAAAAAGAAATCAAGCTAGGCCTGGGCAGGTTATAATAATTTCCCTGCTTACTAATGTAACCCAGACACAAAGTCTTGCACTACAGAACTGTAGTGTTATTAAGAAGAACAAAGTATTCAATCTTTCCAAACCACTACTAAAGTGTCTTTTCCATGACACATCATTTGTCTGTATTCTAGCTCAAAACACCTGTGTAAAGCAGTCTGGTAATCAGTAGACTGAAAATTAGACCCACCTTCCATGATGATTATATTTGATGAAGCAGGACATGGGAATAGTGCTCAGATGCACAAAATATTAATCTATAGACATACAAAATCAACCCAGCAAATGCCAAGAGAATATATTTTTCTTTTAGTTGTTTGTTTAGTGTATATAAATGACAACTATTGATTTTGTCTTCAGACATATGCAAAATAGGGTATTTATCTGAATTTTAAAATCACACAATAATTTTACTGTAGGATACATGATTAGGTCATTTTGATACTGTTTTTTGCCCATTTACGTATTTCACACATTCTTGTTTCTCTTATTGTCCTTTATAACGCAATATAAACCCAGACATCACTTACGTTCAGACAAAACTCCAGGGACACAAGCAAATTCTTGTTCCCACCTAAGCTGTCATTTCAAAATCCTTCCTGCATGGTAAAAACCTAAGGAAACTGTGGGTCTCACAGGTGCTATGGAAGGAGCAAAAAGTGCATTTTAGTTAAGGGATCAAGTTGCAAAATGCAGGCTACAGTCAGAGGCCTATTCATTGGAATAAATGCTCCAGCATGTAACAAATCACAAATTCTGGTTAAGAGAAGCAAGTACTCTGCCTTCTGAGATAAAGGAAGTTACCGATAAGTCATTTTGTAAGTGGAATAGTAGTGTTTCCAAAAGTGCATGGGTGAAAAAGAAAAGTGAGTGTTCTACTCTCAGATTAAATTTAAAAAACAAGAAGTCTGATCAGTAAGGCTTTAGTGCATTACAATTTCTGCTCTGAAAAGCTGGGAGTATCACAGTTTGCACCTCAGGGCTTGTTCTGACCAGGCAGTTTGTAAACCACTTGGAAAAAGGCAGAAGTTGCCACTAAGCATGTAGCTGCTGAGTAGTTGCATTAATTGTTGACATTTCAACACAGAGGCTGCTCCCCGCAGCTCAGCACTGCCTACATGCCAGGTGAACGCCTGCTAACCCTCCTCCCCCTTGTATTTCTTTCCATTGAATGTTGCTATTGAATGTTGGTCTCTTGCCAACTGCCTTTAGGTGAGATTTGGGAAAAATTGCCAAAGAAACAAGAACAGCTGCCTTCATATAATTTTCTTTGTACAGCGACTTCCCAGGAAACTGCTTGGGATCTACATGTGTCCATTTACTGGATTTAAACAAATCAGCACAAGGCAAGGGATGAGTCGCACAAAGCATATGCTATTTCTCCCCACCCCGGTTTCAGCTAACAGTGGGAACCTTGCCCCTGAGGGTACTGACAAGGGCATCAGCCGCTGTAAGTCTGGAAGCATGAGCTACTCAGAGCCTTACCTGTTTCTTTGTCCTGGACTTCTTCCAGGTGCAAGTCATTCAAAAGGTGCTCCAAAATCTTCTCCGGGGTCCCGGACACCACCACATATCTGTCAGAGAGCAGAGAGTCCACTGAGTCATCCTCGGTGGAAGACTGCGAGCGGCTGCTCCATTCATCGTCCTCATCCTCCTCGTCGATGTATTTGAAATAAGGCACATCGAAGGTAGGCAAGGGCAGCTCTCGGTCTGAGAGCGCCGCGGCGGAATCTTTCCTCTCCAAATGAGGGTCAAAGACCCTCAGCCGGGAGCTGCCCATTGTGAACGGTTACTAACAAAGGCATCCCCTAAATGCTAAAAGATCTTGCCATCCCTGTCCTTTCACTGGGAACTGAGTCCATCTGGCTGCTAAGAGCTCTGCAGTCAGCTAGAACGCTGGAGAGGCGGAGAGAAAAGAGAAGGAGGGAGGGTAGAGGAGGCAGAGAGCGAGTGAGATGGAGCAAGGGAAGGGAAGGCAGGCAGGGAAAAGGAGACGAGAGCGCGTGCCTCTGTGGCTGCAGGGAAACTCTCACCTCCAATGGCTCTCCGCACTCCCAGCTGTGGGGGCTGGGCCACAGCACTGCACTTTCTTCAGCACCAGGACGCTCTGGTCTTGCTCTTTAACCTGAACAGTCGTCACTTCATCATCTTGCTTTAATTGTGGACAGGGATGATGGATGAGAGAAGGAAAAAGAGAGAGAAAATTAAAAGGGGCAGGGGTGGGAAGGAGCTAACTAAAGCTATATTTTCTAGAGTTGCTTTACAGTATCATCTCTTTAAAGATTCAGAATAAATTAGGAGTCTGGTCAAAAATCTCCCTCTAATATTAAAGTATCCAGGCTCAAATGCTATGAAAACTTACAACATTAGAGACATACATACTTTAAAGGAAATAGAAAACAAAGTGGAGGTGGAATTCAGAGTTTATTTTAAAAACTACCTAAACAATTTAGAGACTACAAAATTCAAAGTTTCAAAAAGCACAACATATTAATTACATGTGTACTATATTCTCTTTTACCTGGCAGATGTTTATTAAACACTCTATTAAAGTTGAATCATACAAAATATACATTATTTAAACATGAAGACAATGAGTAAGCCATATTCCAGTCGTAATCAATATATATATTCATTTACTTTACACCCTTACTTTAAAAGGCAGGCAAGAAAAAAAATAAAACGACCCACTCCATCACTCAGTTCAATTTTTTTTCAGACTTGAGAGGGCCTTCAAATTTATCATGTACTTGTTTTGCCAGAATACAAGCAAAATGGATCTCTAGTTAGAATCTCGTCTAGGCTGAAATTCGGATGTCATGGATGAGTGCACAGACTTTCTTCACCTCAGTCCCTTTTTAAAAAGGAGAGACGGCTGAACCATCATTCATTTCTGCACACACAGCTTCCACAACCCAGAGCGAGTGCGGCCCGCTGACGTGGCTCTGTCACAGAGGACAGCTTGCTGCTGACCCAGCAGGGTGGCCTCCAACTCGGAGCCATGGACACTTTCAGAGTGTTGAGTGTGAAATTCTCCCAGTGTGCAATACCCAGTAAGCATAAGGTAGCCCAGGAAAAAGGAACTGTAAGATGCATGTCAGAAAATCTAGCTTCCCTATTTCTGAGGATTTGAGCAAAAGATTAAAGGAAGAAAAGTTGATAGTAAGTAGGTTTCACCTTAAAGATGATGTCACCTCTTTAAAAAGGGCACTACGTGCTCAGGGCTACTAGCACATTTCCCCTACTGACAGAAAATCCTACCTACCTACCGTCAGGTACAAATATAAAAAAGGATAACCCCACCCCCAACAGAGAAAAAAATATCCAGTGTGCCTTACTAATTGGTTCTACAGGCTAATCAGGGATGTCAATGTATTTTATTCACCTTTCATAAGAACAGGAAGGCACTAATCTTGCCCTAATTGCCAGCCAAATCACTGATAAAATTGTGACTTTACCTCCTGGTATTCTGATTCCTAAGAAAATGCAGTAAGCTAATCATTTAAGTCCTCCAGGATTTTCTTAAAAACAAAAAATATGTGTCATTCTAAATGGCAATATAATTTTATAATCATTCTTTTTTAATCTTTTAGTGGTAAATAATTTCACTATGTAAAACCAATGTATTACATTTCAGCAAGGTCAGACGCATGCAGTTCTGTGGCAATTAATGCTGGATATTCATTGTTAAACTCCCTGAGGACGACAGTGGGACTCCCGTAACATGAATACCAATGTGTAATTGCTATCTTTCATTTCTCCAAAGGGGTTCCTTTGTTATCCATGTGGCTGAAGTGAAATAAGGTGGCTGCAGAGAAATGCATATATTGACCAACGCCCCCCACCCCCCGCCCCCCCAAAAAAACCCCAAAAAACAAAAAAACAAAAAGGCAGAATGACGGTCTGGGATGCTGAGACACACAGAACAAACAAGTAATTCTGTTCTCTGAAAAGACAAAAATATTTCCCTGGTTTCCTTTAATCATGTGCCAATACTCATTTTATATGAGCTTGCTGTCATTCTGAAGTACGTTTTACATTCTATGTGCATGTGATATATGGCATTATTAACTTCCACAGGCCATGCACATACATATGGATGGGAAAGGCTTCTCTAATGCCTGTGTAACTAATATGTATTACATGGCTATGTGCACAGCAGCCACACTCTGCCAGGCAGGGGAAGAGCTGAATCATATTGATGTACTATCAATAGCATCTATGTCATTGTGATAGTTTTCCATTTTGAAGACCTATTAAAAATAAGGAAGAGAAAAAGCAGAAAAATTAATGTACAAAGGGAAATATGTTATCTAAAATTGCCATAAAAATGTAATAATCCTACGTATTACATCTGGCTCTCAAGAAGGAAAGGTAAATTAATGTTTCCTGACCCATGCATGCTTAACTAATTTCTCATCCTGAGAAAGAACAGAAGTACCATAGTTGAGGTTCTGGGTATGAAATTTTATTCTTGTGCTTGCTTGGTTAAGATTAAAAGTATTAAGAGAACTAATAACAGAAAATATATTAAATGACAAATAGTTCATGAAATGCAGGTAAAGTATTAAAACACTTAATTGACATTCATTCAACAAATAGTGAGGGCTTGCCTCCTTTGCATAAGGCACTGTTCTGGACACCACGTGGCAAGTGAAGATGAGTGAGGCAAGTAACCTGCTCTTAACTGACAAGTTAATAGGCTCAATGACAACATAAGTATAACTGGGTGAGCACCCTAAGATGTGGCCAAATGCAAGAGACAATGCAAAAGTAGAATCCATGGGATCTGACGGTCAAAGATAACTATGGGTGACTGAGAGAATGGAAATACCATTAAACAGGGGAGAAAGTGTATGACGGAGCGGCTCTGGTGAGACCAATGCTTCTGATTTTAAACACTGATGTTTCGTACTAAGACAGCCTGCCTGCCACAGATGTTTAGCAAGCAGTTAGAAATAAAGAACCAGGCCTCTGGACAAAGGTCGAGGGTAGAGACAAATTTATGAATTATTTAAGCTTTGGTAATAGATGAGATTGTTAAGGAGGAGCAGGAAAGAGGCAGAACTATGAACATTGGGGATTAAAGGAGCTAAAAACACAGTAAGGGGAAGAAGTAAAGTGAGAGAATATTCGAGTCATGGGGGAGCCTACTTACAGAGAGACCATGAAGACCACTACCAAGATGAGTCAGGAGGAGAGCCAGGAGAGCACTGTATCAGGAGACCCCAGGGGAATGCCTGCCTGACACTGTAACATTTACAAAGATGGTAAGTCTAAGGTCACTTAAGGTCAGGAGTGGGGAAAATGTGTTAAACTGTGAGTGAACAAGGAGGAAGAGAAGACTACATCTTGGAAATTTCATTATAAAGGAAAGAAGTCAGTTTGAAGAGACTCATTCCTCCTCCAAAATCAAACCTGTCTGAAGCAGGCAGTACCAGAGAACCTTTCAGATGGCAAACGCGGAGAATCATCTAGCTTGACACTACGACACTCAAGAAGTCATACCAGTAGCACGAGTTCCAATGCTGTTTGCCCTTAGGTCTGTGAACACATTAACTGAAGATGTTAACTGATAGGAAGGCATTTGTAGCCAATAGCTTGTTATACCTCTTTTCATCTCACAACTTTCTTGGCCTAACACTTATTTATCCCACAAAGTTCACTTCAAGAATCACCTCCTCCAGGAAGACCCCGGTCTTCAGGTTGATCATCTTGGCCCTTCTGTGTGACCTCACAGCACCACATGTATCCTTCTAATTCAGCACTCTCAGGAGCACTTACTGATGCACTTTCTGTCCCCGCCTTGCCCAAGCTCAGTTGTGGGCAAGTACTCTTATCTTGCATTTTGAATTCCCAATAGTTAGCCAGGTCTTGACATTTCACACTCAATGAACATTTACTGAATACGTTTATAAACAAAGGATGAATGAATGCATTTGCATTTTAAAGTGGAGGTTTAGAGAGCAACACTTTAAATCTCTTTTTTCTTTTTTCGGGGGTGGTGGTAGGGTGGGGTGGGAGGACATTCTCAATCTGTCACCCAGGCTGGAATGCAGGAGCACAATCTCAACTCACTGCCACCTCTGCATCTTGGGCTCAAGTGATCCTCCCACCTCAGCCTCTTGAGTACCTGGGACTACACGCACACACCACTGGCCCAGCTAATATTTTATTTTATTTTGTAGAGACGGGGTTTCACCATGTTGCCTAGGCTGGTCTTGCCTAGACTGAGCTCAAGCAAACTGCCCACCTCAGTCTCTCAAAGAACACCTTAAATCTCTAAGAACACATTTCAATTGGTGAATTGTGATAGAGCCCAGAGAGAAGGGACATTTTACTGAGAGATTCTCTTCCTAAGGAGGGATCGTCAAACTCTGCTGGTGGTCATCAAACTCCACAGGGCACTGGCCTGCCCTGCTTTGCATTCTGACCATCAGCTTAGCTGAGGCACTCAAATAGATTGGGCTAAGCTGAGAAGAACAGCTGGCATGCTTGTTAAATTGGACAATGGCAAAGCTAGGCAAGGAGTTACATATACATCAGATCAGAATGACCTGCTCTAATTCAGGGTCTTAGCCTGAGAGTAGCTCATGTGAGACAGCACCAAGCCTTGGCCACTACTTAAGATAATATATGATAAGTATTTTGTGAAGTATAAAACATCATGCAATTATCAGTTACTGGACCATTAATAGCTAATATAACTTTATTCCATAGTGGTAGAGGTAATGACAACTGAAGAACTAAGGAGACAACACTGCCATATGCAACAAACAGAACTACCGGGAACCGGCAACTGGGGAGGAATCAGCCATGACCAGGCAGATAAACCTATGACAACTAACACTGAGGGCTTACCATACAACATGCAAAGCTAAGGGCTGAAGATCCACTACCTTACCTAATCACTATAATGATCTTATGAGACTAATGCTATGAAAATTCCCATTTTACAAATGGAGACAGGAGCCCAGAGATTAAGTAAGAAAGATCACAGAGCAGAGAGATGGCGAAGCTGAGATTGAACCCAGACAGGCTCGATGCCAGTGCCCTTAACCAGAACCACAGTTGTCCCCTAAGATGGCCAATGCTCTCTATTATAGATGACAACTATCAAAGGAGATGTCACTTTCCCTCGAGCTGACTGCC